CACTTTAAGCGCCAGGCAATTCTGGATGATTGCTTATGTTTTTATATATAAGCTTCTCCTAATCCTTTGTCTTGTAGGCTTTGTGTTTTTTTTTTCTTTTCAAATATGTATTTTATATATTTAGGAGTTGTGCGTTAGACTTGTGGTGTTCAGTTAAAGAAGAGATGGATCGAGAGGATGTACCTGTTAAAGGTGAAGCCTAATGTCCATTTAGAAGCCAAAATTTGAAGACTCTTACCAATATTCTGTAATAATTTAATTGGGTTGTATAATGGTAGACAACTCAACTGTCAAATTTGATTGTAATAATTGAGATATTATTTACACTTTTGTTTTGGTTGATTTATATATGCACGCATGTGTTGATTTATTTACTTGATTGAGAAAAGCATGTTTTTTTCTAAGTTTCTTCTCTTGTTCTGCTTGGGAGTGGACTGGACATGTTGATGCGATAGGTTCTTAGGACAAAAATAAGTTTTTTACCCATTAAAATATAAGCAATCTAAAATCAACTTTAGGTTTCATGATTTTCAAATATAAGAAAAAATGCATGACTCCCTTCAAAGGGCCAAATTTTCTAAAATTAAAGCAATCATGCATATCGTAATGAATCTCATATAGAAAAGCTTTCACTTAAGGATCATATAACTAAAATTTGCATATATTAATCAATATTTCTGCGTACTCACATGGTCAGACATCTTAGCTTAAAAGACAAGCTGTAAGCTCTATCCTTTAAATAAAAACAATCTTTGCTCTTCATATGCATTGAGACTGGATGTTATGGTTTTAAAAGCGACTAGGGGGGTTAGCTGGTAGCCTTTTTCTGGTAGGGCAATAAATTCAGAGTTCGGGTTGGCTACCTCATGTGAGGTATAATTTGTAAGTTTCTTGCACTCCGTTAGACTTAGGTTTGAGGCACTATCCCTCAATTGTCCTCACTTTAATTCTAGGGTTTGAGACAGTGGTTCAATTCAATCACCTCATAAGCCGTCACCTTCTAGGCATTTCCTCAATAATGTGTCGTTGGAATGTAAGCCCAAGCGTTCTAAATTCAAATGGTCAACTTAAAAAAAATAGATTCTAAAATATAAAGTCCAATATATGATAGTTTTGTGTACCTCTGATTTTCTCCTCAAAATCAAGTACTCTTACTCTTACTCCATTTGGCTCTCATTCCAAAAACTCCAATTAAAATTGATCCCTCTCTTCCTTTGAAATTCCTAAAGGCAAAAAATCTTCAAACAAGAATTTTATACATTTCAAAATGGAAAAATTTTAACCAATATTTTGATGATTTTAAAAAAGAAAGAAAATCACAAGTTTAATCAAAAGTTTTCTCAAATAACAAACATTTGAGATGTAATTAACTATAGGGTCTTGCCTCTATAGGGCATATGCACCTTGAATAAAATAACTTCATTCAACCAAATATTGAAGAGGGAAAATTTTTTGTTTAAAATTCAAATTGTAAATTTTGTTACTGAGTCCATAAGGAAATAATATTTTTATCCTTCAGGGTAATATATCATCTTTCTTATTTCATGCTCGATTAGAAAATATGCAATCCATTGAGGATGGCAATTTCTCCCATGTGATTAGACTATCTCTGAAACCTCCTCTTTCTCCATGCTTCCCCCTCCTTTGAGGCTTTGGAGCTCAACCAAGAATCCCATCCATGCTCCCTCCCTGGATTGCCCTCACTAAGGTCTTAAGAGAAACCTTGGTTTTAGAATGACTAG